GGGGTGTCCCTCTGCCTCTTGCGGGGTACCGGGGTCTCTTGTAGCTGAAGGAGGGGGCGAGGCGCGGGAGCGCTGCCGGGGCCTCTCCAGAGAGCCCTCGCCGGGGCTGGGGCCGCGCTCTGCTGGCCGGCAGCCCGCTGGGTGCAGCCGCCGTCGGGAGAGCGGCCGCCAAGTCTGTGAAGGAGAGGGGCTTTCCACGCGTTTGCGTCGCTTCCCTTGGTAACGCATCTGTTTAGTCACGCTAGTCTGGCTCTTAAAAAGAGGTCTGGCTTTCTTTTTCAGGTTGCAGCTCTTCTCTTCCAAACAGCCAAAGATGCTGGTCTGGAGTACGACTGTGTGTGCGGCGTTCCTTACACAGCACTGCCGTTGGCCACAATTATCTGCTCGGAAAATCAGATTCCGATGCTTATACGGAGGAAGGAAGCAAAAGACTACGGTAAAAACCTTCAAATCAACAATTCGTGTCCACTTGTTGTCTTGTTTGGGAAATGACTTTATATATTTGTGGTTCTGTTGTAATGTACAGCATCTCCATTCCAATTTAAAGGTTACCACCCCAATTCAAAAAGCAGCCCCTTTTCCCCCTAAAATATCCCTCCTGCAGCATCTCAACCTGATCAGGCTCTCCCAGCTGGTTGCTGATTAGGCTGCGGCTTGAATCCAGCCGTAGTAGGTTTGGAGACTCTTGAGGGGTTTTCTTGGTTTCTTTGGTTTTGTTGGGGGGGGGGGGGGGGGGGGCTTTTTTTGTTCCTTTCTTTTCTTCAGCGGTATCATTTTTTCCCTTGGCACCATTACCATGGTTCTGGGTTACTGGCCTCTTCCAGAAACCGAGATTTATAACTCGGTTTCTCTGATATGCTGAGACCAGTGCCACATTTCACTTCCAAACAGAACTTTTTGTGTAGTAACTCTTAAGAGGAACCTTTCTAGTCTCTTTTTCATTTGCCTCTCAAACCCCTTTTTGTTTCGTATCCTGTAGTCCTGCACTCAGTGGGCAGGGTGGACCAGGCGAGAAGCAGTCAGTTCTCTACACAATGAACCATTTATTTGGTTTTAATAAAAAGAAGGAGGAGGGAAGACTGAAGCAATAACCTACCATAGCAGCTGGGTTTCTACATGTGATAAGAGCTATACTCTTCCAATAGTATTTAATTAGAAAACATGCATGTCAAAACTAAATGTTACTCCTGTGTTAGCGTGCCAGGCACAAAGACATTTGCTGTTCTTTCTTGTGAAAGGCAAGTCGATTGTGACAGCAATTAGCTGCCTGGCACAAGGTTTCTGGTGTCACATGGATTGCAAAGCTGTATGTACTCTTGTTCTGTAGGCTGTCATGGTCTAAGCACCGCACTGGCTGCATAATGTTCTCCTGCTGCTTGCTGCTTCCTGGGAAAGCTTGGCATCCTTTGTTGTACCCCCCAGGAGGCCTTTCATGGACGTGTGCCTGTTGTTGGTTAGGGTAAAGGCATTTGGGGTTTTACTCCTTCTAATTGTTCTAACAGGCTTATTAAGCGCAGAATACTGCCTGTGGAAAATAGGGAATATGCTGAAGAGTACCAACGACTTGGCTGCTTTAAAGACATTTTAAATAACCAGAGAAAATAGTTCTGTAATTCTGAGCATTAAATTCACGGCAATAATCAACTTCTGTAGTCATCTTACCCAAAGATTTAAATTTATGCAGTTAACAGTATGTCAGTTTTGTTAATGGAACGTAACTTCTGGAAACATAAAAAAGTATTTTATTAACTTGGACAAGTAACAGTCTTTATGAACTGAATTGCAAGTCAGTGACTGAGCTGTGGTAAGAACTGTGATAACTGGTATCAGATAATAACTAAAAAAATTACCTCTCCATACTGACAGTGAATGTGAAATTCCTAGTCTCTTAAAATCCATTGGTATTGGACTTCAGGATATGTTGCAGCACATGCTTGTATGTGGAACAAATACAATCTTTTACATTAGCATAGCAAGTTAAAGTTTTGATACTTTTAAGTTTTTGGGGGGTCTTTTAAACTTTCTTCATTTAGTGGATTGATTGCCTTTTATTTTTAAGGTACTAAGCGGCTGGTAGAAGGCACCATTAATCCAGGAGAAACATGCTTGATCATTGAAGATGTTGTAACAAGTGGATCTAGTGTACTGGAAACTGCGGAAGTTCTTCAGAAAGAAGGATTAAAAGTCACGGATGCCATAGTGTTGTTGGACAGGGAGCAGGGCGGGAAGGCCAGGTTAGAGGAACATGGAATTCGCCTGCACTCTGTGTGCACGTTGTCCGGGGTGTTGGAGATTCTCCAGCAGCAGGGAGAAGTGGCTGTTGAGATGGTTGAAAAGGTGAAGAAATTCATTCAGGGAAATGTGTTTGAGCCAGTGGCTCAGAACGGTCCTGCTCCTGTCAAGAGACTATGTAAAGAGCTGAGCTTCAGTGCTCGTGCCGAGCTGCCGGGGGTACATCCTATTGCAGCCAGGCTTCTCGTGCTCATGGAAAAGAAGCGAACTAACTTGTGCTTTTCTGCTGATGTTACCAGCTCCAAAGAGCTGCTGCAGTTAGCTGCCATCCTGGGCCCCAGCATTTGTATTCTGAAGACTCACATAGACATCCTGAATGATTTCACCCAGGAGGTAGTAAAGGAGCTGAGAACGCTCGCAGATCAACATGAATTCCTGATTTTTGAAGACAGGAAGTTTGCAGACATTGGAAACACAGTGAAACATCAATATGAAGGTGATTATCATCAGCCTTGATTTACTGTAGCTTTGCTGCCAGTGTGTGTAACTGCAGTGCTGGCACAGGTTGCCAGGAGGGATCGTGGAATCTCTAGCCTTGGGGAAGGCTCAAGGGGGCAAGGCCCTGAGCAACCTGATCTAGCTTTGAAGTTAACTCTGCTGAGAGGGCATGACCTCCAGAGGTCCCTTCCAACCTAAACCTTTTTATGAATCTGTGGTTTGATAGTCATTTTCTGTGCGAAAACGCAGTGTGGCTTCTTAAGGCAGCCTGCTATTGTATGCTTGTGTGCTCATTACGGCTTTCATTAGGTATTGCATCTGCAACTGTAGAACTGTTTACTCGTTTTCTGATCCATATGTCTCTCATGATCTGCATACTGTATTGAAAGACAGCACCTGTGACAGTGGATTTCTAGGTTACCTTAAGTGTATTGGTGAATATTAAAGGTGAGATACTAAGAAGTGTTTGTGAAAAGTAGAACTGAGATATTAGACTTTGTGGTTAGGCAGCTGTCAGAACTGTCTGATGAGACTGAACTTGTAACTGTCAAGCTTCAGTAGTAAAACTGTCTAGTAAAATGTGAATGATTTAGCATGCAGCTTGTTTCATTTAACCCATGTTTCCCATTTAATACATTTCTAATGACACTTTGCCTCTGTCTTTCTATCCATGTTCTCAGGTGGTGTGTTCAGAATCGCGTCCTGGTCAGACATTGTTAATGCCCACGTGGTTCCAGGCTCTGGAGTTGTGAAAGGTCTGAAGGAAGTCGGTCTTCCTCTCCAGCGTGGCTGTCTTCTGATTGCCGAGATGAGTTCCCAAGGGTCACTTGCAACGGGTGAATACACAAAAGCTGCAGTAAGTAGGCAGTCTTGTTTCAGGTTAAAAGCTTGTAAAGTGTTGTGACAGGGAGGGTTTGTGTGCTTCTAATATTTGCACTTCCAAAAGCCTCTCCAGCTCTATGACAGTTTTTTTTCCTGTGGGAGACTCAGGAATCTGACAGAGTGGTGTTTAAAGGTTGCAGCTGTAGGCTAGTCATGTGAGGTGGTCAGAGTTCACACTGAATTCTAGTAAACATGCCAAGTATGTTATTAGCCCCCTCCCCCCCCTTTTTTTTTCTTAAGCAATAAATGTCTAATTAGTTTACATACATTCATTCCATTATTTATAACATAGAAAGAAACATAACATCCGTGTTCCTGGCTGCAAGCGCAGCAAGATCAGTGAGGGGCAAGCCAGCTCTAGGTGACTTGATATTGGTAAGGCATGAACAGGTATTTCATACCCCTGCCTTGCACAGCTTAGTGTGTCAAAGGGTGGATGAGGAACAAGCTTAATTTTAGGTATATCACTTGTAACTGTTTACTGATCTTCTTCAGGTACAGATGGCTGATGACAACTCAGATTTTGTTTTTGGATTCATATCTGGATCTAGAGTTAGTAATAAACCGGAATTTCTTCACTTAACTCCAGGGGTGCAGCTGCAAACTGGAGGTAACTTCTTCTGAAATATTTATAGTCTGTTTGTAAATACAGTAAGTGATCTAGCCTTCAGTGAAAAAGTGGCTTCTGAAGAGGGTTTGGTTGCTGATTCTCTGGTGGGAGGAGTCTGTTTGCCATTATGAGGTGCCTTCTATATTTCTGGGTACGCTGATCCCTTTCCTGGGAGCCCTGAAAGGCAACCAGCAGGCTGCACAGCTTTGTTTTTTATGCCATAAAGCGCAATCCTTAAAACACGTGAAATGTCTTCAGGTAGGTGATAGGTTAGATGTACAACTACTCAGTAGGAGTAGAAAAAAAGATTTTTAACAAATACAGAATTCTAACTGTAACACTGTCGATACTGATATAGATGCAGTATCAATGAATTGGAAGTCTTACACGGACTAAACATGTTATTGCTGAACCAGGTAGGGGACATGTGTTTCTCTGCAATACTTAATTCTTACAAAACCTGAAGTGAAATCACAAGCATTTACGTGAATGTTTGGTGGGTTTGCTTGTTTTAAGAAGGCTAAGGCTTATTTCAGTAATCCTGATTGGTGCTTTGTTGCGAAACTGTTCCCTCTATTGTGACTGGTAAATCACGAAAAAGGAGAGCGCTCTCTGTCAAAGCTGATCTGTGTAATAGGGGATTCGTTGGTTGGAGACACAGTTTCTAGTTATGTTTGTGGATTGTTAGACTGAGAGCTGGAACAGCACACCTGTTCTTTGTTCTAGCACCTCTTTGAAGGTTTTTAGAATATCTTGTTTTGTAGGAACTAAAAAAAAAATGGTGTCTCTATTTCAGGTGATAACCTTGGACAGAAGTACCTAAGCCCCAAGGAAGTTATTGGTGAAAAAGGTTCAGATATCATTATTGTGGGACGTGGCATCTTGTCAGCTTCAGACCGTCTTCAAGAGGCAGAGAAGTACAGGAAGGCAGCTTGGGAGAGCTACATAAGCAGACTTGGTATTCATGCAGAAGATTGAAAGCAGGCCACTTTCCTAGCCAATAAGCAAAGCTGATGGAGCCCCAATCATTGTAAGGCTTCCAGTTAAATACAAAGACACTTCAGCTGGTAGAAAACTGCTCTTGTGGAGAAAAATCTGTACTAACTAAATTATTTTTAATCGCGCTCACACAGATCGAGTTGCACATGCCGTGGTTGGGTTTTTTAATGCGTGAAACGAAAACTTCATGCCCAGTTTTTAGCCTGAATAGCTTTTCTCTGCTGAAAAATGTTGCACGAAACACTCCAAGGGTGTCTGGTTGGCTGTTGTTGCTTTTGTTTCTTTTCTCCACCCTCAAATTCTTTCTGTCTGTGGAAACAGTATTTTACTGTTCTTAATAAACTGCACCTGCAGATCTGACCTGCTGCCCCACTCTCCCAGGATTACTTGACTCTGCTATTTCCAAGGAGCAAGTATGGCTCTTAATCCCACACTGTGAAATTGAATAATGTGTTGTTTAATAAATACTCTTTTTTGCTACTGTTTTCCTTTCATTTGATCTATAACTCTTCCTTCTGTGGGAGTGTGAAATTCTGTCTTCAGGACCCCAGTATTATGAAAAGTCATTCTGGTGTTTGTGACTGCAGGAATTACTCATGATTCTGTTTACAGGAGCTGCAAAGAATTTGTCAGAGCAACTGGTTGTTGCATGCTTAATTACAGTGGAGCTGTTGATTCCTCTAATGAGAAACAAAAATGTACTTTCTGTTTATTGACTTTTTATGACTAGCTGGAATAATTCTAGGAATTACTTTCCACTTTTCATGATGAGTAAGGAGAAGTAGAAATATCTTGTATGACTGGTTTTGAGTAGAAAGGACGGAATAACCTTAAAACTATCTAGTGTATGTGTGGTGGAAATCACCTTGAATTTTCATTGCTATCAAGAAGGCAAAGATGGTGTTGTGGTTCCTGTGCTGATGCAAAGCACACGGAGGAAGCTGGTTCCCTTTGTTAATACAGTTACCTGTAGACTAGGAACAGCTCTATCTAGCCTTGCTGTCTGGGTGTGTTGGGGGTGATGGCTTTACCTTTTCACACTCCAGTCTTGGAAGTGTACTTCCACTCCCCTTGATGACAGTACTGCTTATGGGGCTTAGGAGTTGGTTATTTGGGTGAGAATATTAGAACTTGTTGTATGTGGTTTGTTTTCCATGGGGCTACCGTTTACTTCAGCAGTCTTCCTATGCATCATAATTTACATCTGGAGAACTCTAGCTAGGGAACATTTAGGCTCTCTTAGCCACCTTTCACAGCTGGAACTTGATGAGTGTGTTGTATCTTGTGCAGCCAGCCTGCAACAGTCTGTGAGTCGTCATACTGCACATCAACTTCTAAGAAGTTCCAGTTCTTCAAAGTGAACGGAGGATTTGGGATTTGTTTACTGTGTCATCTTAATTATCTCATGGCCTTGAGGCCTGTAGCAGAAACAAGACTTTCTCACTTAAAATGTTTTGCAGAAAACTGCTTTTTCCACCAGAGGGAGCTGAGACTCTATTTTTCAGGAGAGTTGATGTACTAGCTCTTTTACAGCTAATAGTTTCCGATGATGATACCAACTCTAGATATGTTTAGGATGAAAATCTGTCTGGTTTTCAGCAAGTTACACCCTTGCTGATGCCCTCATTTAAAACAGTAGAGTTTACCAGAAAACTGCCTCAGGCTGGAGTTCAATGTTGTACGTTCACTGTTGCAGTAAAAGTCGAGTGCCGCGATGCGATTCAGTATTTTCCACTAACTGCTGAATCGGGTTAAGCGGGTGGCTGACTTCCATGCAGCTAAATCCCTGAGCAGGCTCTTTGGAGAGCTAGTTTATCAGGCCTCTAGCTGAAAAAAATAGCAACCAGATTTGGAGAGACGGATGTGATCTAATATCCAGCCACTTTTAGACAATACATGCAACTCATTTTCTTAGCAAAACAACTTCTGAGGAACAGATTGATTGGAAAACTTCATTTCACAGTCCTTCATTGTAGACTCAGTAAATCATCCAGAAAGAGCTGTATTTTGGTGTTTCATTTGACACCAATGTTGCAAACATTTCAATTAGCAAAACAAAAACATGTTACCTCCTATATGCATTCTTCTGTCAGAATGATTGTAGTAAACAAGCGTGTGCACTTTCTTTGAGGCACCTGAAAGTGATTAAAAATCCATTTCAAATTAAGGACAAATGTTAATTTCCTTGCTTGCCCCTGCTGCTCGCATTCATCGCATAGTTCCTGCTGTTGATCCCAACTGTTCCTAACATGGGAACTAGGTCACAATTTACAAAACTCATTTGCATCATAATATATGAATCTGAAAGTCTTGCGGTTCATTCTCTGATCTGATCGAGTCTGGGATAGAGGCGTAAGGCTATATTTAAATTACTGGGTTATCACATGACTTACATTATCTGGCAAGTGGTGTTTATATGAAATTGTGATCCTTAATCCACTCTGGAGTATGGTTTATAACAGAATGAAAGGATATCACACTTTTCATAGTGAAATAAGACTGCGATCAAGCGTTGTCAGTGCTTGCAACAGAAAGAAGGCTGACTTGCTGCTGTTTCTGAGCAGTGTAGCGGGGACTGTGAGAGACCAGCACAAGCTGGAACCGTTAAGGAATTGTTAGGTAGCTTTTGATATTTGTATGTAAAGTTCACTCTATCTATCTCTGTCTTGCATGAGGAGTGCTATGTCAAGAGAACCCAGCCTGGGTGTAACTGCATAAGTGCAGTGCTTGACTGAGACTTAAAATTCTTGCAAAATCTTGATACCCCCAGCACTGAATTAAAACCAGCCAAGTTAAATTTTTTGTCCTTAAAAGTATGATTTGTATGTCACAGTATCAACATTGCTTTATTAACTAGTAATTGACAGGTCATATTATAGTTTCCATTGCCTATTCTATGAAAACTTGTTTAAGACTTAATCCCAGAAAAATAACTGAATCACTTCCTTTTAAATTTACGTGGAAAGCTTGTTGCTGTGGATTTTTTTAGCAAGCGACACAAACATTGCATTTAGGGAACGGGACCAAAGGAATGTGAAACACCCAGGGGAAGTTTGTTTTCAGATTTGACTTTTGGAGGTCACTGTCTCACAGAAATGATCTGTTTCAGAAGGCTTGTAACGACTGTGGGCTAGACAGGCTGGATGTTTGGTTTGTTTGTAATCACTCTGTTGGTTCTTGGTTGGTCTGTACCACAGTGGCAAGTACAGCCTCATGTTCGAATGCTGCACCAAATTAAAACTCAGCCTGGTGCCTGCCCCAGCTGCAGGTTTTTCTCTAACTCTCTTAGCAGGCATTTGCTGGCTGGGAGCGGTGACCCCGCCTGCGTGTCCGGGTTGACTTTGTCCTCAGTCTTGGTTCTCTGTTTCTGTATGACCCTTGTCCTCTGAACTTTTTCTCATAAGCTGATGCTATCCACAGTCAGGCTGTGAAAATGCAGGGTTGTAGGTGGAGGCTGGCCAGTACAGAGAACAGGAGGAAGCCCGAGCAAGGCTGTAACTGTGAAGCTCTTGCTTGTAGTATGGTCTCCTGAGCAGAAGTGTGTTGGTATGCCATAGGTTGTGTTTAGCCCAAATAGGTGATGCAGGAGGAGAAGCTAAGCTAGTGCAGTCACTTTTGATCTGTTCCTGAACAGCTAATAGTAGCTATACAGAAGATACTTTCACAAACAGGACTATTTAGATGGGGAAGTTCTGCAGTGTTCCCTGCAGCTGATCATTTCTGCTTTGCTGAGAGGTATCATTTTAGGCTGATGATGGGAGCAGCCATAAAGGTGACCTGGTTATAAGGGGGAAAATATTGAACAGAAGACAATCTCTGCTCAAATACTGACAGAGAAAATGCCTGCCCGCTTAGGAACCAGAAGCGTCCTTGAGGAGTGCAGCTGGCATCTTTGAAGTGCAGCAGGACACCGAGAAACCAGAGACATCCCGAGATACCACTGATAAGTGCAAAAACAAGGAACTGTAACAGCAACTTATCTTCTGGAAAGGTGAAAAAAAAAGTCTGGAAAAGGGGAAAAACATTCTGAGAAAGTGAGCGTTGGTAACTGCTATTGGCTGTTCTAACTCACAGAACAGAAAAACAGTCTGATAAAACAAAAATTGGTCTGAGAGAATAGAAAACATCACCAGTTATTGGTTGTGCCAGGTGGAAAACAGAAGTTAGTAGCATCTATTGGCTGTTCCGGGTGGTGGTGTCCTACGCCCCTTTATGTCTCTGTGATAAAAAAAGGACTTACTTTTTACCCAAAATGCAGCCTCTTTCCTGCACACGAACCCCTGTTCCCCACGACATTTCCTTGGCAGAGCGGACCCTCAGCAGGGACACCAGGCTGACTCCGGCTCCGTGATGCAGCTCATCGTCCAAGTGAGACTTCATCTGTTGTCGCCTGGCCCCGCTTCTGGGATGGGTTTGATTGGCCCCACTGCTGGGGTCGGTTTGAGGAGCACTTGGTACTGGTAACATTTTTATATATATATATAAAAAAAAAAAAAAAAGGCCGGTATGTAAGTAATTATTGATAAGTGTATTTGCTGCTTTACTAGTGGTAATTCTGCAGTAATTTGTAATACTGAAATATAGACTTGCTGCTAATATTAATTGCTGCTGTGGAAATACATTTGCTTTCTGGTAGTAATTTGTAGTAGCTTGTAGTATAGCTATCCTTGTTTTGCCAATTGTAACTATACTTGCCTTGATAGTAGTAAACTGTAATGAAGTAAAGAACATAGGTAATAAATCCTCTGTGTCTTTGTGCATGACGGAGTCCTGCAAACCTGCATATGGTTGCAATCTTTGTGCACCCACAGACCAGGTAACCCTTCTGGGCTGTGGGATTAATTGGTGGCAGAAGTGGGGCTCTGTGATACACAGGTCATGGATGCTTAGGAGAAGGCAGTAGAAGAGCAGCAAAAATGGCAAGAGGCTAAGGGGTGGAAAACGCCTCGATGGGACAGGGATTGGGTGTCTGAGAATGGGTTGAATTTGGAAATGCTGCAAGCAAGCAGAGTTTCAGAAGTGGCAGGACAGTCATAAATGCAAAGCTGAGGATGGCAAGGGGGCTTTCATTGGGCTTCTCACAGAGGTGTTGGCAGCCATGGGCGCTTTGTTTAACACTGCTAGGCAGGAACTGGAACCTTTGCAGTGAGCTAAGGATGCAGAAGCACAAGCAGTTGCCTTTGAAACCCATAGTTTTGTTGCAAACCGATTGCTTAGGCAATTAGAAATGAACCTCAGACCTCCGTCTATACAACAGCTAGAGCAAGAGCCTATGTGCCTGGTCTCAGAGAGCGAGCTCATTGAAAAGATACACATGCTGAAAATGGATAACGAGGAGGAGGGCTTTGATTCTGGCAGTGGGTCTTCCACCCCCGCGTCATTACCTGAGCATCGCCCAGATAACGCTGCCTCCTTGTACCCTAGCATTAAAACTTCCCTGGTACAACTCCCAGCTCCTGCTGGAGAGGAAGGTGCTCCCGCGCTGCCTGGGGTCACAATGACTGCTGCGATTTTTAACGCAGAACAGCTAAGGCAGCTGTCCTTGCAGTATGGCAGAAAGCCCCATGAGGACTGGGTGGGATGGGTGACACGGTGCTACCAGCTGGGGACTGGAACCCCAGTGATCCTTAATCAGACTGACGCCGGACAAATATTCCTGGGAGGAAGCATATTTCTCCTAAACCCCGATGCAGGGGCCAGAGTGAATACCTTCTCCTTGTTATCTTCAATAATACATGCTGTTAGAAAAATGCCGGGACCATGGGGTATCTCCCTCCCCCTCTGGAGTACTCCTGATGGGTTTTCTGGCTGGATGATGAGACTGGCTGCTCAGGAAGTCCTTAAGGGACAAGGGGCAATACTCCGGGACGTGATGGCTGTGCCAGCAACAGCAGCAGGACAACTAAAACTCTTGCAAAATGTACCACCCAAGGAGCCAAAAAA